GTTTAGCAGCATCCCTGGCCTCTACCCACTTGATGCCAGTAACATCTCTTCCCTTGTCCTCCCCCAGCCCCAGTCATGACATAAAAAATGTCTCCAGACATTGTCAAATATCCCTAGGGCACAAATTCACCCCCAGTTGAGGGGCGCCTGGGTGGCTCAGTCGGTTAAGCATCCGACTTCAGCTCAGGTCATGATCTTGTGGTTCGTGATTTAGAGCCCCACAGCCTGGTGCCTGCTTTGGATTCTGTGTCCCCCTTCCTCTCTGCCCCTCCTCGGCTCATGCTCTGTCTCTCCCTGTCTCTCAAAAATAAATGCACATTAAAAAAAATTAAAAAAAAAAAAAAAAAGAGAGAGGCTTAACCACCTGACCCACCCAGGGGCCCCTAGTCATTCTAGTTGTAACGCTACTTGATTGAGATGAGATACGAGGTCATCATCAATAAAGCTCACTTTAAAACACAGCGAGAAAAGGGAACAGAGAATTGTTCTCTGGTGCTGGAGTGGCACAAAGTAACAGGTTTATGCCAGACGGATTTGTGTGCCAATAGCTAAGTACTCCTTCCGATTATGAGCAACGTGGGTCTGAATAAGCAGTTGAAGATTCACAGGCCCACGTGTCTCATTCTTTCTGAGCAAAACACTAGACTTTTGGCTATTTGCCGTTGCTATTTAGCCTGGAAACAATGAACAAATAAGATCACTAGTCTTGTGTTGCCAAGTGATTGCTCTCATTCCAATGTGATCGAGTAAGTCCCCTGCTCAGCACCTCCTAGTCACTTTCCATCGCCTGCAAGTGAGTGTCCGAACACCTGGCCAGGCCCAGAAGCCCTCTGTGGCTCCTTTTAGAGCCCTATCTGCTGCTGGCCAGGACGCCTCCGTCACCTAGAACCAGCAAAGCCAAGTGCATGGCCATAAGTGTAGCGGGACGTGTCAGGCCCCTGGCATTGCTTAAATTTCTCCCTCCCAAATCCCCAAAGCTTGATGGCTCCTTTTTTGAGTTTCAGGATTCAGGTCATGTGTTCCGCTTTCTAGAAAGCCCTCCTGACTTTCACTGCGGACTCCCAAGAAGAAATGGCCACTCGCTCCTCTGTGTCCCTCATGTCGTAGATAAGCCTTTATCACCCAGACCTCTGTTTGCACTTTATTTCACACATCATTTGAATGTGTGCCTCGCCTCTCTTCTGAGGGCAAGGCCAGTGTCTAACTCCTCTTGGGAAAAACAGTGCCTAACAGAGGATCTGGAGAATGTTTGTGTAATAGAAGTTTATTGAGCAGAGCAATGAACGGAAATTTCTGTCATGTGGCTCTTCTTTTTTGTTCAATTGTGGCGAAATACACATACCGTAAAATTCACCGTCTTAATCGTTTTATTTAATTATTTAATTTATTTTCATCTTAATCATTTTGGTTATTTTTTTCTTTTTTTTTTTTTAAAAACATATTTACTTAGTTTTGATGGAGAGAGAGTCAGAAAGAGAGGGAGACAGAATCCCAAGCAGGCTCCACGCTATCAGCGCAGACCCCAGTGCAGGGCTTGAACCCACTAACTGTGAGATCGTGACCTGAGCCAAAATCAAAAGTTGGACGCTTAACCAACTGACCTACACAGGTGCCCCAGTGTTTACTAATTTTAAGGAACAGACATACTATTTCAGAAGAGCATTTTACATGCACGATTTCACTAAATGCCCCTGATAATTCTAGGAGGAACAATGATATTCCTTTCTCAAAAGATGAGAAAATGAAGGCAATTGGCCAGTTTCAGAAAGCCGATCAATGGCAGAGTTGGGATTGCAACTCACTCTTGGATCCCCAGATCCATGCTTTTGAGTCCTATGCCGTACTCTCTTTTCTCCAGAAAGGTGGCAGGCTCCCTCTCTCTGGTGAGTGAAGGGCCCTGCCTTGGATTTGGGGAAAGAAACTTCCTGAATAAGAGGCATCCTACTTGTAGATGGTCACCAAGGTCAGCTGTCCATGACTAGCTTCCCCTCAGTCCATCACAGGCTTGTGAGTGAGCCTGTAACATGTTCCTCCGTGTTCTATATCCTAGGACACAATGACCTCATAAACTCATAATCAAAACCACTCAAAAACTTAGTTGCTAAGCATTCCTCCAAAGTAATGACTGAATGTGAGAGATCATTTAAATCTGGTTGAGATCACTCCAGTATCATTGTCCAAAATCTCTGGGTGGTTCCAGGCATGAAACAGAGTGGGCTTATACTCCAATAAATCTTTCAGAAATAATCTAAACGTGAGAAGACTTCCCTGGGTATCTCGTCAAAGACCTGGCAGCTCATTAAACTATCTGGTAAGTGGTGGGTTTTCAAGTGACCCCTAGACACGCCACCGCGCCAGTAGACCCCAAACTTCCCCTGCACAGTAGCCACTCGACACGAAAACCCAGGGCAGAGAAGAGAGGGAAGGGATGAGACCGGGAGCTCATGCTTTGATGTACCTTCTCTGCTCTAAACACTCAGCAGTGACACACAAAAGATTGAAACCGAAAACCCCAAATACCTGGATAAACTCAAAGCTAAGATGAATGTTGGAGGATAGAAAAGATCGGGCAGGGAAGAGGTGAAATGGTGCAAGAGAGGAAATGTAAGGCAGAGAGCACACCACGGCCCCGGGTTTGGCGTGCTCCGGTTGGAAGTCGGTGGCAGTGATTAGAGAGAACTAAAAATGTTTAGCCTTCACGCCGGGCTCAGTGCTAGAAGTGAGGGACAGACTAGGTCATGAAAGGAAGTTGGGAAAAAAGAAACAACTATGGCTGACCGCCACCTGGAGAGATGGAATGTCATAAGCCGCAAGACTGGGGAGGTAGGAAGTCAGAGACCAAGTCGCCAGTTGGCATATTACCTGATTTTGCATAATGTTAAGACCGCGGTGGGACAGGGGAGTCCTAACGTGTCATCGTAAGACTGTGGCTTGGCCAGGGGGCAGGTAGAAACGACTGCAAAAAGACTAGATGGGTGAGGAAGTGAGCCCAGAATGAGAGAGAGAGAGGGGAAAAAAAAAAACTTTCTAAGACAATAAAAAATTGGAATGGGAATCCCCTCCAAGTTCACCCCCTGGAACAGACTGATACAGACTTCAAAAGAAATGCATGTGGCATGCTCAGGGAGATGCAAAAAGGAATGACTTCTGTTTTAAACGAGAGCAAGAAATTATTTCAAAAGGAATCAGAAGAGCACCTGGCTGGCTCAGTTAGTGGAACGCGCAACTCTTGATTTCAGGGTTCTGGGTTCAAGCCCCACGTGGGGTGTAGAGATCGCTGAAAAATAAAAAAATTTAAAAAAAATTTTTTTAGTGTTTTTTATTTATTTCTGAGAGAGAGAGACAGCGTGAGCAGGGGAGGGTCAGAGAGAGAGGGAGACACAGAATCTGAAACAGGCTCCAGGCTCTGAGCTGTCAGCACAGAGCCCGACGCAAGGCTCGAACCCACAAACCGTGAGATCATGACCTGGGCCGAAGTCGGAGGCCCAACCGAGCCACCCAAATGCCCCCCCAAAATATTTTTTTAATGTTCATTTATTTTTGAGAGAGAGAGAGAAAGAGAAAGGGAGCAGGGGAGGGGCAGAGGTGGGGGGGACGGAGGATCCGAAGCAGGCTCTGAGCTGAAGGCGAAGAGCCCCCATGCAGGGCTTAAACTCACAAACTGTGAGATCATGAACTGAGCTGAAGTCAGACGCTCAACAACTGAGCCACCCAGGTGCCCCTGAATAATCAAATCTTTTTAAAAGTCAGGGAGTCTGGGAGGCTCAGTCGGTTCAGTGTTCGACTTCGGCTCAGGTCATGATCTCACGGTTTGTGGGTTCAAGCCCCGCCTTGGGCTCTGTGCTTACAGCTCGGGCCTGGGGCCTGCTTTGGATTCTGTCTCCCTCTGTCTCTGCTCTTCCCCTGCTCACTCTCTGTCTTTGTCTCTCTTTGTCTCTCTAAAAAATGAATAAACAGTAAAAAAAATAATAATAAAATAAAAAAAATACAGGGCACCTGGGTGGCTCAGTCAGTTAAGCGTCCGACTTCGGCTCAGGTCGTGGGTTCGAGCCCCAGTTGGGCTCTGTGCTGACAGATCAGAGCCTGGACTGTTTCAGATTCTGTACCTAACTCTCTCTGACCCTCCCCAGCTCACACTGTCTCTCTCTCTCTCTCTCTCTCTCAGAAAGAAATAAAATATTAAAAAAAATTTTTTTTTTAATTTTTTAAGTCTTAAAAATATAAAAAGCCATCAGAAACAAAGTAGGAACAAGCGACGGTAAAAAGGAACAAACTGAAATCTTCAAATCGTGGAAAGAAAAACAGTCATTGAAATTTTAGAAATTAGTCTGCAGATCGGGTAAACTTGACGCTTGGCAGACAGAGAGAGAAGAGCAGTGAACTGAGAGAGAGATAAGGAGAAATAAAATGGACAAGGCGATTAATCGCATCTACCTTCTGGGAAAAGTCAACACGCTCACGTCATCTGGATTTTACCAATCTCTGTACATGACTCCCTCTTCAGATCACGGTTCATTACTGTTCGTTTTTAATGTTTATTTAGTTTTGAGAGAGAGAGAGCCCGAGCCCAAGTGAGGGAGGGGCAGAGAGAGAGGGAGACACAGAATCCGAAGCAGGCTCCAGGCTCTGAGCTGTGAGCTCAAACTCACAAACTGAGATCGTGACCCGACCTGAAGTCAGATGCTTAACCGACTGAGCCACCCAGGCGCCCCAGCACTGTGCACATTCTAGATTCCTCCTGCGAGTCGAAGGGCAGAAGCGGGTGTGAGTGCATGAGTGTATCATGTAATAGAGCCTATATATATATATATGCATATGGAAGGTGGGTGCTCAGCAATTATTTTGACGGATAGACATGTCTGATCAAAACGGTCTTACGACCACTTCTCTAAACATTTGACTAATGCAATGGCTTTGCCTTTGCTGGTTGCGTATGAATCACTGCTTTCAGTTGGAAAATGCCCTTTTAATCTTTGTCTTCTTGGTTTCTCTTCTTCCAGGCCAGACTGCAGTGCGTGACTCCACACGGTGAAATCTGTTTCCAGGAGAAAGGGGAAGCTTCAGGAAAGTCTGGGACAGTCCCGGGCCACACCTTCAGGCAGTTTGTTCCCCTGGGACTTCCACATGCTGATCCTATTGTGAAAATGAGTGGTTCCTGAAGCAATTAGCCTCTAAGATAGAATAACGCCCATTAGCTTTATTGTGTTATAGAAGTTTAATGCTATTCAAGTCTTTGCCTGCGTTTCAACCCAGCAAAACAAAGCCCATGAGCTTTGTAAGTGCCACCTGCCACAGCGCCCTGTGACCCTGAAACTCCCCGCGCTGCAGAGCATCGCGCGCTAACGTGGGTTGGGGACCACACTCTGCAACTTCGTCACTGGCATGTGCACAGATGGGCAGGAGGAATCAGGTAAAACGTTAAACGGTTAGGAAACACGCAAACACTACAATGAATGGTATTTACCTCGCAAAAGTTCGCTGGTGGGAGGCATCCACAGGGCCCAGCTTCGGATTTTTTGTGAAGTGGTGGAAAGAAGGTTATCTGAACTTGGAGGGATGGGTAGGCGATGGTCCAGGGGTGTGCACGTGCCTCTGTGTTTTCCCCACTGGGGCTTGGTTGCGCTGGGTGTGGTTTTCTCTCGTCACATAGTGTTTCTTACCAATGAAATCGCACACTCTCACACTCGAAGGTTTCCCTACGTAGCAATTGCGATAGAACAAATCTGTACTTTCAAAACAAGTATAATAGGAGAGCTGACTGGGGCTCTTGGGTGGCTCGATCAGTTAGTGTCTGACTTGGGCTCAGGTCATGCGCTCGCAGTTCAAGAGTTCAAGCCCTGCATTGGCTCTGCACTGACAGCTCAGAGCCTGGAGCCTGCTTCAGATTCTGTCTTTCTCCCTTTCTCTGTCCCTCCCCTTCTTGTGCTCTGTCTCTCTCTATCGCTCAAGAATAAATAAACAAACATTAAAAAAAAAAAAAGGAACTGACTGTATTTAAAATATTAAAATGTTCAGTAATTCCAGAATCTTCCATTAATCTCTTTTTTCTTTTTTTTTTTCAAGGTTAGTCAAGTGAAGCAGTGGGAGCGGGGAAGGAACAAAGAAATCTGTAACTGGCTGTGATCAATTCATTGTAAATTAATCTCTTATTTAACATTTTGATTGCACCCAAAAAGATGATTTCGTGAACAATTTCTATGACTTAATCCAGGAGTTTCAGACACTCAAATAGAAGAGTGATTATAGAACTTTAATGGACACCACAGAAAGAAGTTCTAAATGGTGATCTAGGAATTCTTTATAAACTTCCTAGATTTCGAGCCCACATTAAAAAAAAATCGGGGCACCTGGCCGGCTTAGTCGGTAGAGCATGCGACTCTTGATCTCAGGGTCTTGAGTTTGAGTCCCAGGTTAGGTGTAGAGATTACTTTTAAAAAATCATGACTGGGGGCGCCTGGGTGGCTCAATCGGTTAAGCATCTGACTTAGGCTCAGGTCATGATCTCACGGTTCATGAGTTCAAGCCCCGAACTGGACTCTGTGCTAACAGTGTGGAGCCTGCTTGGGATTCTCTTTCTCTCCCTCTGCCCCTCCCCCACTCATGCTGTCTCTCTCTCTGTCTCTCTCTTTCTCTATCTCAAAATAAATAAATAAACTTAAAAAAAATCATGACTGGCTTGATGTTGGAGAACAAAGAGGAAATACATAAGAATTTAAAATGACTATGGGGTGGGCACTTGGGTGGTACAGTCGGTGGAGCATCCAACTCTTGATCTCCGCTCAGTTCATGATCTCACAGCTCGTGAGTTCAAGACCCACACCGGGATCTGCGTTGATGGTGTGGGGCCTGCTTGGGGTTCTATCTCTCCTTCTCTCTGTCCCTCCCCCAGCTGTGTATGCTCTCTCTTTCTCTCTCTCTGTCTCAAAATAAATAAACTTAAAAAAAATTTTTTTTAATTTAAAATGACACTTGGGACATCTGACTGGCTCAGCTGTGGACTGTGCAACTCTTGATCTCTGGGTCATAAGTTTGAGCCCAACTTTGTGGGTAGAAATTACCTTTAAAAATCTTTCTAAAAAATGACTACTGTATTTGGGGCCAAACACAACTTCAAAACTTACCATGACATTAAAGGCTATTTATTTCTTCACTGGAATAAAAAGTTTTAGTAATCAGATTGGGAAAATAATATAATATTAGAAATATGGTTATAGGGGGGGCGCCTGGGTGGCTCAGTCGGTTAAGCCTCCGACTTCGGCTCAGGTCATGACCTCACGGTTCTTGGGTCTGAGCCTCACATCGGGCTCTGTGCTGACAGCTCGGAGCCTGGAGCCTGCTTTGGATTGTGTGTCTCCCTCTCTCTCTGACCCTCCCCTGCTCATGCTGTCTCTCTCTCTCTCTCAGAAATAAATAAAACATTAAAAAAAAAAAAAGAAACGTGGTTATAGCTTAATGTGTGTGTATACCCTTTTGCCCTAAAGGTTATTTTAGTTTTAGGTTTAAGATTGTTAATATTATAATTTTAGTTTTAGCAAGCGCATTTCTGATTTTATGGGAAGTTGGGATTTTCACAAAGATACATTACAAAATAGCCCCTTTCCCTCTGATTTATTCAACTTTACCTGGGAGCATACTATAGAGGAGGAAAATCCTTGAGGATTTCTCACATTCAATACTACTTTCTTTTCTTTTCTTTTCTTTTCTTTTCTTTTCTTTTCTTTTCTTTTCTTTTCTTTTTTTAAAATGTTTTATTTTATTTCTAGCAGAGAGAGAGAGACAGCGTGAGCAGGGGAGGGTCAGAGAGAGAGGGAGTCACAGACTCTGAAACAGGCTCCAGGCTCTGAGCTGGCAGTCAGCACAGAGCCCGACGCGGGGCTCGAACCCACGAACCGCGAGATCATGACCTAAGCGAAAGTCGGGCGCTTAACCGACTAAGCCACCCAGGCACCCCACTTTCTTTTATTTTTTAAAACAGATTTTATTCTTAAGTAATCTCTACACCCAACGTGGGGCTCGAACTCACAACCCTGAGACTGAGAGTTGCATGCTCCACCGACTGAGCCAGCCAGGCGCCTCTCAGTACCATCTTAGAAGTTCCTTCCACCGTATATTATATGATGATAAGCAATGGATGTGAATTAATCTTCAGAGATCGATTTCTTTCTTTACCTGAGAAATTTCTCTCCCTTACTACAAACAGCATTTCTACATTATCATTTACCTCCTCATCACCTTTAATTTCTTATCAATTAACTAAAAGCAAAAATCCTCGAAATCATAGGAGTAGGCTAGAGACGGAAAAGTTGGGAGGAAAACTCCTAAAAATAAATCCTCTTCCTCCTCAGCTGCTTGGAAGCATCAATATCTCTTATAAATGGAAATGCTTCAAACCAAACAATTTTCTCCACCGCATTTAAAGCCTTTGGGAGGTTTCGTGATCGGTGACAAAACAATCTTATTCTAAGACGAATTGTAGCCCGTTATGTGATGACATTAACTGGCAGGAACGTGAACATCACGTATTCTGGTTATTTCCTTTAAAAGATGTTATTTACTTGAGTATTTGGGGAGCTGGCAGTTACCAGATGCCGGGTGTCTAAGTTAGAAACATACCAGTTGCTCAGGAGGACGGCTTTTCCTGGTTTAAGCTTCCCAGAAATGTCTCTTTGGGGAGTCTTAAAGCAGACACCAATAAACAGCACACATAACGACATTGTTTCAATAAAAACGACAGTCCTTTCCTATGATGCTGCTTCTTGCCCGCCTGGATGCTTACCCCGGGCGTGCGGGATGCCAAATGCATTTCAGTAAGAGCAATCCCACGAAGGGGTCAAAGCCATTTGGTCAATGTATTTAACTGACTGGTAGACTGGCGAGTATTAGCAAATTGGAGAAGTAGATGGAGTGTATTTCCTTTTGGCACTGCTCTCCAAATATTTCTGGAGACAAAAATCTACGATCAGAGTCGGGCAGCTGAGAAGGAAGAGGGAGGCGGCTATAAACAGAGCTTGAGAGTGTGTGGGTGAACCTCTCGGCTGGTGTGGGGGGGGTGGGGACGCTATCACTTTGCTGGAGGTGTAGCCAAGGATGGCAGCTTGGAGTGAGAGGGAAAAAGAATCGTCAGGTTTTTCTTTACTATGAATTTCCGATTGTTTAGGAAGGTCGAAAGATTTCCTCACAGTTTTGACATTGGTGAAGATCTTTTTCTAGTGGGATTCTTTGATCGCAGAAGGTTTCATTAGTTTCAGGTTATGACCTAGTGATTCAACTCCTCCCTTAGGCTGTGCTCCCCACGAGGGCAGCTAACATCAGTCACGTGCAATGCTATTATGATGCCATTGACCGCACTCCCGACGCTGTGCCTTCCATCCCCGTGAGTTATTCATTCCACAACTGGAAACCTGGAACTGCCTCTCCCCTTCACCCATTTTGCCCACCATCCTCTGGCAGCCACCACTCGATCCTCTGCACTTATGGGTCTGTTTCTGCTTTTGTTTGTTCATTTCGTACATTCCACGTGTGAGTGAAATCATTTGGTATTCGTCTTTCTCTGTTAGACTTATTTCACTTAGCACACCTTCTAGGTCCATCTATGTCATTGCAAAGGGCAAGATGGCATTCTTTTTTACGGTTGAGTACTATTCCCTTGTGTACACATACCACATGCTCTTCATCCGTTCCTCTGCCAATGGCTGCTTCCGTATCTTGGCTATTGTAAATAATGCCGCAATAAACATAGCGGTGCATAGACCTTTTTAAATTAGTGTTGTCATTTTCTTTCCGTAAATCCCCAGTGGTGAAATTATGGGCCTTATGGCATTTCTGTTTTTAATTTTTTGATGAACCTCCATACTGTTTCTCCAGGCGCCGCACCATCTCTGAGCTGATCTTTAAGAAGATACTTACCTTGACAACTGTCCCACGCTTGGGATGGCTAGAGGGTTTTCCTCCCATAAAGGACTCCCCTGACGGAAATAAAGGAAGAGGTATGATTAAGGCTTCTCACAGTTATTATTTATTTATTTATGTATTTATTTATTTATGAGAGGGGAGAGAGAGAGCGCGCGCACAGGGGGAGAGTGGCAGAGGCAGAGAGAAAATCCCAAGCAGGCTCCATGCTCAGTGTGGAGCCTGATGCAGGGTCTGATCCCACAACCCTAGGTTCATGACCTGAGCAGAAATCAAGGCCGTCGCTCAACTGACTGAGCCACCCAGAAGCCACAGTTATTGCATTTATAAGTTCTCTCCCTGGTGTGAGCACTCAAACATAGCAGAAATTCAGTGCGCTACGGGAAGGTTTTCTCACATGTGATGCATTCCTAAGGTTTTCCTCAGTATAAATTCTCTGCTGTTCAGAGAGGATTTTGTAAACACGGAGGGACACCCTGTATTTATGGCACTCGAGTTCTTCCCTAGTTTGGATTCTCTGATGGGAAGTAAGAGATGATCTTTCACTAGACACCGCCCGCATTTAGTATACAGCAACTAAATAAACAAAGACCTCATTGGTCATCTTTGGAGTATCCTAGGGAACAACCATCACCCCAGGGTAGCCCAATAGTTGACGGAAAATTTCTTTTTATAGGAATAATCCAATTTATAAATGAAGGAATTACAGATTATAGAATATAACTATTTTGCAACTCCTAATAAATTAATAGATCTAGGAAATGATGATCAGTAGGTGTTTACACCACGAAAAGAGAAATCCAGACACGTGCCTTCTGATAGAACACAAGTCCCCTACGAGATACTTTTTGCCAAAAAATTGAACTTGAATGGGATCAAGCCTCGTGTGCCATCAGTTTACAGGAACACAGGAAAGCAGAAGAACATTAAAGTATCATCCCAGCGGATGAGCAAAATCTGGATTGTAGGAAAATTGACAAGACAAAAGACCTAGTTTTTCCAAGAAACATAGTAAAAGAAATTAAAGAAAGGTCAGGGGGAATTAACAGAGTAATATCAATTAGCTTCAAAGTGTAGAACTTTTTTGGATCCTGACTCAAACTGGAGCATGCAAAGAAATTTACTTCACGCAGGAAAATCTCAACAATTCACTTGATTTTTAATAATATTAGGACTTATTCGTGTCTTAGAGTAGGTTCTATGCCCAACGTGGGGCTTGAACTTGAGGCCAGGAGATCCGGAGTCGCATCTTTACTGACTGAGCCATCCAGGCGCCCCAAGACTTTTTTTTTTTTAATGAATACAGGTATGTCACTGTGTTTCAAGAGTCATCTTCAGAAATGTGAACTTTAGTGTTTATAGGTAAAATAATATGATACTGAGATGTGCTTCCAAACAAAGGGGACAGTGTGTGTCGGTGGTGGAAGCGTGGCGGGCGATGGATCAGAACGCGACAGGGTGACAGTTGATGCTGGTGGGGACCAGGGCACGTGGGGACCAATGAGAAGGCAGCGGCATTCTTGGAAGGAGATGATGGTAGCTGCTATGATGGCTGCCAACGCAGACACTTGAAGAGACCTCTGTCCCTGAAAGCGGAGCTTGCCGCAGCAGCTCATTTGGAGGCGGCCTGCTGCGCGCCCAAAGCGGCCGGCGGACACCTCGCCGACCCGCGGCGCCGGACCTCCGCCCCCACCGCCGCCTCCCTTCCTCGCCAGCGGAGGGCGCTCGCAGGTGCGCCCCGACACGCACGGGCGGAGCCACGATGACGAGGAGGTGCGCATGAGCCGCAGAGGCTCCGGACTACATTTCCCAGGAACGCTTGCGTGCCCGGCCCCGCCCAGTGCCCCAGAGTCCTGTTCGAGCCGGAGCCGGGCTCCTGCCTGGCCCGCTCTGGGCTGCCGAGTTGCTTCTTCTGCGGGCTTCGGTATCGCAGTTCGGGGAGGGGCAGCTCTTGCACCGAAGCCCGTTTGGGTCGGGGCTTTAGAGCCGAGCCCCTCCTGCAGGAGGTGAGCGTGGTGCTTTGGCTGTCACCTCCGCTCAGCTAGACGGGGCCGCCCCGCCACACGGGTGGACTTGCAGCCTCAGGGATGCGGGCGGAGGTTGGATGCCGCTGTGGAGTGCGGGTTGCAGGGGGTTTCAAAGGACTCGTTCGCGGAAGCTGCGCGCCCTGCGGGCTTGTTTCGTTGAGTGAGCGGCCGACGTTCGGGCGGGGAGGATGCCCGAGATACACGGCGGTTAGGACCTGAGTGCTAGCTTGAACCCACGTTCCCGCAAGCAAGCCCGGAGCACGGGTACCACGAGCACTGGACTCCAGCAAGGGAAGACCCCTCTTCTTGAACCCGCTTAGGTAAACCTGTCGACCCGCGTCCCCCACCTACCGGGTGTCTCCACTGATTGAAGACGAAGGGTTAGAGGCGCACAGGCGGAGTGCGGTCGGCAGAGGGCAGCATGGACCGCTGGCTTCGTCAGAACTAGGGTTCGGCCCTTCTAGAACCGGACTCCTGGCGTTGTGCCTTCGTATCCCTTTACGTTCAAGCCTCAGACCGCTCCCGACTTATTTACTGACCTCCTCGCCCTTCTCCCACACGTCCGATGAGCGTTTGCTCCTTTTATTAATTTGCCTGGTGTTTGGCTCGTCAGCCGGCCTAACCCCCCACCCATTGTGTGGACGCATAGCTGGCTAACTTGTTTTTATAATTTTCATAGTTTATTTATTTTTGAGGCCGAGAGAGAGCAGGAGCCGGGGAGGGGCAGAGAGAGAGGGAGACACAGACTCTGAAGCGAACTCCAGGCTCTGAGCTGTCAGCGCGGAGCCCGACGTGCGGCTCCGTGAGATCACGTGACCCGAGCCACCCAGGCGCCCCTGGCTACCTTGTACAAAGCGCCAGTAAATACGTTAGGCTTTGCGGCCTCCTTATGTTTCACCACTTTGAGGTTGTTGCAGGAAAGCAGGCACAAACGATACTTAATCTGGCTGTGTTCCAATAAAACTTTATCAACACTGGAAATAATTCTGATTTTTTCCAACCACTTAAATGTAATGTATTTTACTCCAGTGTAAAATATGAATGAGTGAGTATCCCAGGTGTAGTGTTTAATCAGTGTACACTGGAGTGAGATCATTACTTTCCAACCTCTGCGTATAGGTCAGATTTCAAATGACGGAGGGTTTTTGTCGGGGAAAGACCTCTACTCTGTAGTCTCAAAACAGGCAACTTCATTTGGGGTTGTCTTTCCTACAGATAAGCCCTAACGGCCCCCAAATTCTTGGTGGGAGATTTCCCATCTTCTACACCAGAATGGACAATACTGGCAACGCCAAGGGCCCAGAACTTCCCTGCACGTCGCTGCTGGGTATCCCAAGAGTACAAGGTCTTCGTTGCTCTTGACCTGGGCCATTTCTCAGCCTTGTGTTAACAGCCAGCAAACAGGCAAAGCAGGGGCCTGGGAGAGGGCAAGGGAAGGCAAAGGGCATTTCTGTTTACAAGTCACTGTAAACGCAGTGATGTTCTCGAGCTCAGCGTTTCTTCCCTGTAAGGCAGCTCCGGTTTCTGGCGGAATGCACCTAAGCCCGCCCGTGGAGATACAGAAGTGGGTATAATACGGTCCTCTCTCTCTCTCGTTAGGAGCATATTTTCTAGTAGGAAAGATGGTCATCCTGAAGTTTTCTTTTTTTTTAAATTTTTATTTATTTAAAGAAAATTTTTTTAATGTTTGTTTATTTTTGAGAGAGAGAGACAGAGAGTGTGAGCGGGGGAGGGGCAGAGAGAGAGGGAGACACAGAATCCCAAGCAGCTCCAGGCTCTGAGCTGTCAGCACAGAGCCCGTAATTTTTATTATCTTTAAGTAACACCTACCACCATCTTGGGGCACAAACTTCCAACCCTGAGATCAAGAGCTGTATGCGCTATCAGCCGAGCCACTCAGGTGCTCCTAACTACGATAGTCATTCTTGATGCCTCTCACATCCCAATCCAAATCATTAGCAAGTCCTATAGACTCGGCCTTCAAAATGTATCCACCACTGGGTCACTTCTTACCACCTCTGCTGCAACCAGCACAATTTCTCCTCCGAAACCACGTAATAGCTTCCTGCTTCTGTCCTTGCGCACTTTAAACCATTAGACTCACCTAGGGAACTAAATACTGATATTGCCATTTCCCAGCCTCCATCCCAAATGAAATGAATCAGTATTCCCGGACATGGGGGCCAGGCATAGGTCATTTTAAAAGCTCCCCAGGTCATTCCAGTGTGCAGCTAAGAGTGAGATCCACCGCTGCTAACAATGAGAAAGTGTCACAGCACTTGAAGCAAATGGCGACATGGTCAAATGCACTTCTCAACCTGTAGAGCTGGTAAGTGGCGGCCTTACATGCTTTCACATGACTTCAGCACAGGGTGGTAGATACACTGTAAGGGGTACAATCAGGGGCAGGGCGAACACCTGCCTGGTAATGAAATAATCAAAAGTTGGTTAAAAACCTGAAACGAGGTAGTGGCAGTGGGGACAGAGAGGAGACTGAACTGGAATACATAGAAAGTAAAGCCGATAGGACTCTAACTACAGGTGAACAGAGTGGCTTCTGGCCTCTCTGTCGAAGTTACTGTGTGAACTGAAACAGATTTGGGGATGAAAGTTCTGTCTTAGATTAAACCACTGAAGGTACTTTTTGAGATAGTTCCAGGTGGTAACATGGACTATATGGTTCTGAAACTGGGGAAAGATCTGGGTGGGAGACCAAAATTGAAGTGGGGGTAGAGAGGAGTGCATTCTTGGTGAGGCGATTCTCGTTTAAAGATTTGAATTTAAGGAACTATAGAGAAGGGGAGACAAAAATAAACTTCCAATGCTCTAATCTCATCAAAATACAGAATTTTATAAAACTGTAGGTACATACTGTTTGCGCTCTGGATTTCCACTGGCATGAATTTTACAGGAAGAATTCAGCTGAGTGCCGGAGCCATGGTCCGGACCCTTATTCTGTCGCTGTAGGACTGCATGGCCGCAGGCAAGACACTTCAGCACCATGATGGTGTCACTTTTCCCACCCACACAGAGGACTTCATGTTGCCTGCAAGTTCACACACGTATTTATACATATCACATAGTGCACATGCTTGCCATTCTTAGAGGCTAAAGTGTTCTAAGAGGCTAGTAACTGTAGTGAAGTACAGAACCATGAAGAGAGTAACAGAAACAGAGGACTAAGTACATTTACAGGCACATGCAAGTGAATTGCTACCAGAAGATCTAGTTGAAGGCTGAAACTTAACGCTCTTAGTTTTGAAAACCAAATAAAAGTTTAGCAAGAAAAACTAGCACTTAGATTTGCATGAAACAGATCCTCAGGGTTCAGATTTAGATCTTATCAGAAACCTGCCTTAAGGAATATGATGGGAAAGATGATTAGCTTATACATAAACTATCAAGATAGGACATAATTAAAACATACTAGGTACCATATATTTAGCTGCTCTCTTAACTGCTCTCTCATGAACCCGCTGGCCAGGTTAACGGACATGCTCCCTTCCTTAAACTCTGCTGGTCCTGGCACAAGGCATCTCGGGGTTACGCCTGCTGCTTTCTAGTAATATGTATCACTTCCATCTTTTCCAATTTAGTTGTGTGCTCCAGTTTGTCCCAGTATGTAATTAGGTCTCCTACACAGATACTGCGTAACTGATGAAATGAGTGCAAAGAGTTGCCCTTACGAGAACTAAGTTGAATGGCTGGAAAGACTCAAAGGCTACCTGCTGATGACACCCCAGCAGCGATGAGCGTACCCAGTGTCCAGATCTTGGTTTTAAATAGTTGCTGAGGGGCGCCTGGGTGGCTTAGTCGGTTAAGCGTCCGACTTTCGCTTAGGTCATGATTTCGCGGTTCGTAGGTTCGAGCCCCGCGTCGGGCTCTGTGCTGACTGCCAGCTCAGAGCCTGGAGCCTGTTTCGGTCTGTCACTCCCTCTCTCTCTGACCCTCCCCTGCTCACGCTGTCTCTCTCTCTCTCCTAGAAATAAATAAAAAAAAAAAACATTAAAAAAATTAGTTGCTGAATTAGCCAGAGATTACTGGAGACATGGCTCATTTCATATCTGGGGCACTGAACCTGAGCTCTCTCATGTCAGAAGGCAGTGAAGTCCCCAAAGGCTAGAGGAGTGACAAAGGACAGAAGAGCTACTGGAAGGGTTCCAACTGACCGAATTTGGGATAACTTGAGCAATAGAAACAATGGCCATAACTAAGGTTAACACATGGAATAATGTCACCACTGCCAGCTCCTTACTCTGAAAACTGGTAAGTAAGGAATGTGAGTAGGACCCTGCCTCTCGTGCATTCTCAGATGACAGAAAGCTCTGCTTTACAGAATTACGCATCAGGAAATGTTGAATGATGGAAAACTGCCATTTTGCAAATCGTAATGAAATAACTGATTTGGGGAATGACCATCATCACTGAGTCCTCAAACTACCAGGTGAAAAGTTCTTGGTCAACAGGCTACCCATACGCTGCCAGGGTCAGTCCACAGATTGACTGCAACAGGAAGACACATCCTCACACTGGGAAGATGTGGTGATTCCACAAGTCACAGCACGGACAGTCAACCGGATAGTAAGACTTGACGTGATGCAACAGGAAATACATCTGGGAAGTGTTAATATTAAACATATTTAGCCTGAATCCAATCAAGGCTTTGGTCCAAAATGCTAATTTATAGAAACCACAAGGGATACATGAACAAGCTAAACCACATGTAAACAGTTAAATCCTGAATGTGAGACATCCGACAACTGACCTGCTCTCTTAAAAAAAAAAAAAAAAGGTCCTCGAGGAAATCAGAAGTGGAGACGCCTAGACAGATGAAACAGACATAATAACTGAACATAATGTGTGAAACTTGAGAGGATGAACAGGGAAAATTAAAACATGGATGAATTAGAGATTAGAGAATTCTTACTCCTTTTTCAAGGTATGTAATGGTACGTGGTAATGTGAAGTCCTTTTTTTTATGACATGCATGCTGAAGTATTCAGGGGTGAAATGTCATGTCCAAATAACTTTCCACTTGTTCAGTAAAAAATGTTAAAATTTTAAAGCTAGGTGGTAGATATACAGTTTATTTTATTATTAACTTTTCTGTGTATTTCAACATCTTTGTAATAAAAAGTTGTGGAAAATAAGACTATCTGCTAAAAAAAAAAACAACAACCCTTGAATTACATGTGGATCAGACAAGTGTAAAAGTGGGAAAAACACACAAAGATCCATGACTCCACTATTCTGTTATTCTAAGGACATCCGTTGCCTCAGTGTTATCAGTGGAAGACTTTATAAATGCATTATTTACATAAAACTCACATAGGCAGGAAATACAAATTAAATCGAAGAAATGCGCTATGGACCGCAATGCCTGACACATTTGTGCCAGGAGGGGATAGAGTGCTGTGTAAGGTTTGAAGTGGCATTATAAATAAAGACCGCATCTTAAGTACAACAGTTATTTCTAACATGGTAACCAACTATGGAGTATTATGCAACCTGGACAATCTACACTTTGTGAAGGATGATTCCATGATATCAGGGTTAGCAGAGGTGAGGACAAGGGAAAGCAGTAGCTTCTTGAAGAAAACACTCAACAAGAAAGCCTTGAAGATGCTAGCACCCCAGGTCTTTCCTACGGCACCTGTCTGTAACATGTTTGCTATCAACAGGAACATCCAAATGAAACTGCAGTGGTCAATTATATGCTTAAAATGGTATTTGTGGCACAAGAATTTGTATCAATTTTTCTCCATCTAGCTCAGGAGACCTTCTTGGGCAAAGATGTCCCACGATTTCTTTACGAACACCCCCACTGTTAAGATGAGGAATTCTGATTCTTCAATTTTAAGTAGTTCCTATTACCCAGTGAACGACCAGTATTTGTTAAGTATTCTTTGCACGTATGCACAACAAAGTATTTTAAGTTGAACCAACTTCTCTCCATATCCATTAATTCTACCTTATTACTCAACTCTAACTTACCTACTTACTAATTCAACTGACATATTGACCACAACCTATACACAAGGCACTGAAGAAACAAATTAAGAGCAAGATGAAATCTCAGCTCTCAGAACATGGTCTTATATTCTGATAGTGGAATGCTGTGGATATTGAATAGTATTTTCACCTATTTCTATTTGCATTGCTGACTGTTTTCCTTTTATGGTGTTTAGAACCCCACAAATTTAGTTAATAATGATTACTGCAATCAGAGTTTCTGCATCAATGCTCTTTCCAGTAAATTTGTTTTCTGACATTTTAAGAGTAATCCCCATTTTACTTATATGTATGAAAAAGATCCGATTCCAATTATTCCTTTAAAATCAGTTGCTTCATTTTTAGTTTCTTCTTCTAAACAGGCTCAACTTGGTCTTATTCAATTAGCCACTCTTACTTCTTAGGTAACCCAAGTCCAACGACAGTTCATGTTGTAAGTTACCTGTGTATTCTTTCTTCACTGCTAAATCTTCACCCTTGATTCCTTCCCTGACCCACTTTCTGTAGAGAACTTAAACCTATTTTCTGTTACTTTTCCTTCACATTATGTAAAGAGCTGCTTTCACTACTTCTTGGTCTTGGGATATGGGACTGCATTTGCCAATCCATTTTAGTAGGCTTCCTAGGTCATTCTGGGACAGTACTTACTAGTTAAGATCATGTCCTTTGTCACATTTCACTACTTTAGTAAGCTTTCTGTTGTTTAACCGGCTGTGGTTTTCAGCACAAGACGAAGCCCTGAAAAGATTCAATTAGGAAGTCTGGACCCTGAGCACAGCAGGCACTCAAGAAATGGGTCTCAATGGAAATGGACTTTCTGTGGCAAAATAGCCACAAGAGAGCTTCTTTAGTAGGAGTCCAGTGGAAAATAAATGGTAACTTTATTTTTTCCTTTAGGATGACGGATGTCAAAACCTAGTGAAACTAAGGCTCATTATGTTTTAAAGATGAATTTAAAAATGATGTTTAATTTTTGCCTGTTTAATCTGTACACATCTAAGGGTTATATATACATTAGTTATCCTAATAGATCGTCTTTCATTAAACTTCTCTTCCTTGAATATTTCAATAGTTAAAGGAAACTGTAATTAAACAGCTGTCACGTAGAAACTAAGATACCTTCCACTATATATATTTTGCAAGCCTACTGGCTCCACGTGGCAGTTATGGCATAATAGGAAAAGGGAAGGGAGCCCTTTAAGCATTTAAGGCTTCAAAGCTGGGAAGTAATAAAGGCCCGAAAGCAGCTTTTTCAATTATCCCAAGATTACTTGCTAGTGTGAAATCCCTACTTAATGGAAGCTTTCCCAAGTTACATTCATAAGGTCTCATTAAGAAGTACTTGAAATACACTAGGAGTTGGCGAGTTACAGATTTTTGAGTACTTCTCACTTTTACAGGGTTTCTCTCTGGATTGAACTGAACTGGTATCAGAAAAAAGGTTAAGAAGTGAATAGAGTTTTCTTTTAAATGACACATTAAGTAGCTTATATCCACATTACTAATTCTGATACTTCTGTTGAGTGATATCTAACATATATTGCACTTCTTTTGAATAACATTTTAACGGAGCACAAAATAAAATCTGGATGAACTGTAAAAGTTAAGTGAAGTCATCTACCATATCCATTAATTATGATGTTTGGCACCTGTATGAACGCGCTGATGCTGAATGAGGTTTGTACTCTGGGTGAAGGTTTTACCACATATACGGCATGCATAGGGCTTCTCTCCTGTGTGAATTCTCTGGTGCTGAATAAGGCATGTTCTCTGGCTAAAATCTTTATCACATTCATTACATTTATAGGGTCTTTCTCCAGTATGAGTTCTCTGATGTTGATTAAGTGATGAGGAATAAATAAAAGCTTTCCCACATTCATTACACTTGTACGGCTTCTCTCCGGTATGAATCCTCTGATGTTGAGTGAGATTGGCACCCTGTCTATATGCTTTCCCACATATATTGCATTTGAAGGGTTTTTCTCCATTATGAATTCTTTGATGTTGAGTGAGGTGTACACTCTGGCTGAACGCTTTTCCACACACGCTGCACTTATACGGTTTCTCCCCAGTATGCGTTCTATGGTGTTGAGTAAGGTTTGCACTCTGGCTGAAGGCTTTTCCACATATTTTACATATATAGGATTTCTCTCCAGTGTGAGTAGTCTGATGTTGAATGAGAGTTGAGGAATGAGCAAAAGCTTTTCCACATTCATTACATTTGTAACACTTCTCTCCAGAATGAATTCTCTGATGTCGAATAAGGTAAGTACTCTGACTAAACACTTTCCAACACTCATTGCATTTATATGGTTTCTTTCCGGTGTGTATTTTTTGATGCTGAAGAAGGTGTGTACTCTGACTGAAAGTTTTCCCACACTCGTTGCATATATAAGGTTTTTCACCAGTGTGAACTCGCTGATGATTAATTAGTGATGAACTGTGGCTGAAGGTTTTACCACATTCCAAGCATTTATATGGTTTCTCTCCAGTATGTGTCCTTTGATGTATCGTCAGGTGTGCGCGCTGACTGAAGTCTTTCCCGCAGTCATCACACTTATAGGGCTTCTCTCCAGTATGAATCCTCTGATGTATGGTCAGGTGTGCACGCTGGCTGAAGGCTTTACCACACTGGTGGCATTCATATGGTTTTTCTCCAGTATGCATTCTCTGATGTGCAATGAGGGATGAGATATGCCTAAACTCTTTCCCACATTCTTCACATTCATGAGATTTTTCTTTGGCATGGGTACTTTGGTGTTTCACGAAGGATGGGTTTTTCCTAAACTTTTTCCCACACACATTACATTTATAAGGCTTCTCTCCAGGGTATATTTTTCTATGTACAATACCGTATGAGATGTGATTGAAGGTTGCCCTGCCTTCATCGTACAGAGTTTTATTATCTGATTGGGTACCAAACTGAATAATTAGGTTTGAATGCTTTTCAAAGTTATTTCTATATATATCATATTTACTAAGATACTCTTCCATAGGGTCATCTTCTTGTGAGAGGATGGGCTTCAAAGGGAAATCTCTCTTGCTAATGGGAATTTTCCTGAAGGGATCTGCTGCTTGTCTCTCTAGTCTGTCATCATCATCTGGTTCCTCCAACTTGATGGTCTGAGTACCAGTCTTTGTGAGTTTAGGAGTATTGGTGACTGGAGTACACTCTTGGGCTTCTGTTTTCCATTCTGAAATAAAAAGAATATAGAATATAAAAGGTTTTCCTCTATTTGGAGAAAGAAAACTGCCAAAACATAAAGAAGATACTGAATGTGAACAAGATGCCTACAACGACTATGGCTCGGACAACCTCACAATGTGGTACTTAGGGTAGTTTTCTTTGGGAAAAGAGAGGGACACCTGGGTGGCTCAGTTGGTTGAACATCTGACTCTTGATTTCAGCTCAGGTCATGATCTCAGGGTGGAAAGACTGAGCCCCACATTAGCCTCTGTGCTGGGTGGGAGCCTGCTTAAGATTCTCTCTCTCCCTCTCCTCTTCCTCACCTCTCTAAAAAAATAAGTAAAGACTTTATTATAATTTTATAATTGTTTTAATTTCATTATAAAATATTTACTTAAAAAATTTTTTTTAAATGTTTTATTTATTTCTAGGAGAGAGAGAGAGAGAGAGAGACAGCGTGAGCAGGGGAGGGTCAGAGAGAGAGGGAGTCACGGACTCTGAAACAGGCTCCAGGCTCTGAGCTGGCAGTCAGCACAGAGCCCGACGCGGGGCTCGAACCCACGAACCGCGAGATCATGACCTAAGCGAAAGTCGGAAGCTTAACCGACTAAGCCACCCAGGCGCCCCTTTACTTTTAAATTTTTATAAATTCTTTTATTTAGAGAGAAAAAGAGTACGAGTAGGGAGGAGCAGAGACAGAGGGGGAGAGAATCCCAAGCAGGCTCTGAACTGTCAGGTCAGAGCCCAATGCTGGACTTGAACTCATGAACTGTGGGATCACAGAGCCGAAATCAAGAATCGGATGCTGGGGCACCTGGGTGGCTCGGTTGGTTAAGTGTCTGACTTAAGCTCAGGTCATGATCTCATAGTTTGTGAGTTCGAGCTCCGCATCGGGCTCTGTGCTGACAGCTCAGAGCTTGGAGCCTGCTTCGGACTCTGTGTCCTTCTCTCTCTGCCCCTCGCTTGCTTGTGCTGTTTCTTTCTGTCTCTCAAAAATAAATAAAACATTTAATAAAGCCCAAAATTATCATCTAAAAAAAAAGAATTGGGTGCTCAATCAACTGAGCCACCCAGGCACTTCAATAAATAAAATCTTAAAAAAAAAAAAAAAAAAAAAAGCTTGGGAAAAGAAAACTACAGGGGCAGAAAACCGGAAGACCAAACTGTTGAAAAAGGAGCGGTTCCTCACTATTCACCATGGGCACAGCGTAGTAACATAGGTTAGGTCCGGTGACAGGACTAAGAGAAGTGAAAACAGTGGATAAGACGCAGGGTAACATGGCATCACTTTGCGGACTGATTCGTATGAAGTAGGTGCTCACTCTCATTAACTCCTCGCAGCCTGCTCTGCACGATCCTACATAATATTCCAAGGGCAATGTCATGGAGTGCTCTCGATGCTTCAGCATCTCCAGTAAATCTCCCCTGGTAATAGTTCTCAAGGCACAGTCCCGGACCGGCGGCAAAAGCATCACTATCAGCTGGGAATCGGTTACACTGGTCCTCATCCAGACAAGCCGCCTCAGACACTCTGGGGATGGGGCCGCACAGTCTGTTTTAGGGAGCCCTCCACGTGGTTCTCCTGTTCACTGACGTTTGAGGACCAGTGGCTTAAGGGAGAAAAGTCTGCAAATTTCAAAATACCTCCACTTGACCTAGTCAGTCCCGACATAATCCAGCCTTTCCTGTTCTACTGCATCTTCTACCAAACTTCATATTTAGCTTAACTTGATATTTAAATTCCCCACGTAACTTTAAGCTACTTCCTCATGGCCTCCTATAGGTGCCATGTGAATACCAGATTTAGGCATTCTCTTAAGGTAACTTCTCTACCCATTAAAAAAATGGTACGGCCCAGCTCCTGTTTGTCCTTCTAAGAATCCTAAAGTACAAATTAGCTTGAATCATATGAACTTGCCTTTCTGTACGTCAATATGGCTGAGATATCAGCAGTCTCATGATTCAATCATATATCATGTTGGGGCCATGTCAGCACTTGACCTTACATTATTACTCACAACTTTGTGTGTTTCTTATATTTCCAACTTAGACGCAAACTCTGGAAATGGCTTATGCTTCTTATATGTTTCTTTCAGAAAATGGCCCAAGATACAATATGGTGGACACTCAACTGAATTGGTGAAATAAATGACAATAATTTGTTATAAAAAGGTGAACCAAATGAAAACATACACGTACACACAAAAATGAAGCAAACAAACAAAGAAAACAAATCCTTGACCCCCAAACCTGGCCACAAAGCAATCAAATGTACTGACCCCTATGGTCTCCGGCAGGATGGTGTAAAACAAATTTAAATTATAGCACCTTTTTCTCAATCAGGTCGAAAATACAGAACTTTCAAATATTAAGAATTATGTAATGAAATGTAATTGAATATGGATTTTATAATATAGCAAACGTGGTACTGGGGAGTTCAGAAATTTTCTAAGATGTAGATCAAGGTATAAAAACCTTACAAATGAGGTGCCTGACTTCAGCTCAGGCCATGATCTCACAGTTCACGGGGTTAAGCTCCAGAGCCTGCTTCAGATCCTGTGTCTCCCTCTCTCTCTGCCCCTCCCCCACACGTGCTCACTCTCGCTCTCTCTCTCTCTCTCAAAAATAAACATAAAAAAAACTTACAAATATACCCGTTCCATAGAATCATATACAGTCATTAAAAATGATATCTGGGGCGCCTGGGTGGCTTAGTCGGTTAAGCGTCCGACTTTCGCTTAGGTCATGATCTCGCGGTTCGTGGGTTCGAGCCCCGCGTCGGGCTCTGTGCTGACTGCCAGCTCGGAGCCTGGAGCCTGTTTCAGTCTGTGACTCCCTCTCTCTCTGACCCTCCCCTGCTCACGCTCAATCTCTCTCTCTCCTAGAAATAAAAAAAAAAAAAAAAAAAGATATCTGCCATCAATCAATAAAGGATGAGAGTGAGGGATATGGAATATTGATAACTGAGAAAAATAACTAGGTAGGCTCACATACATGGATACGTAGGGATAAGGGTGTGGAGGACATATTATGCAGAGCGAGACCCACACTCTATGTAAGGATATGCTATACGTAATATAGACACATATACATAGATAGTAATAATCTAAGGGGTGAAAATCCTGGTAATGGGAGAGGTGGACAAATATTTCACCTGCCTTCCTGTACTGACTGAATTTACAAATGACTTTTATTACTTTGAGTCAAACACAAACATCACAGTTGACTTTAGAAAATGCTTCGGAGTAATGCTAAATGAAAAAAGCAGTATCATAACTTGCATGAAAATGCACTGGAACTAGACAAAGCAATCAAATGTACTGACATCTGTAGCAATCAAATGTGTTAACAAGGTTACAGATTTTTAAAAAATATTTTCTAGTTTTCAATAAATTGGCTACGTAACTTTTATTGCTATTCAGTGCTAGTATAACTGTAGTTGTATTATTTTTACGTAACAAAAATATTTAAAAACTCTCTCAAACCAGGATTTGTCACTCTCCCCTCCAAAAGAACAAAATGAGAATGGTAAGGAATTGTATACGTACAGGTGTGTGCACGCGCGCACGCAAACACATACATACACACACAAATAAGAGTACCAGAAGCTGAGATGAATTCTGATTCTATGCAATCAGACAGCCTATGGCAGAGCGTACCATGTACCTGAAAAGTAAATACTAAAGCAGTAACAAGCGTAAACAAGGCTGGATCACAGGACCCTGAAGAAATTGCTATAATAAATATAAATCTTAAAATCAATCATTTTATTGGAAATTTAAAAACTGATGCTATTAAACATTGCTTAAATATATGTATTTAACCAGAAAGGGCTGGTTGGAAGTGGTAAGTGTCTGGTCAATAGGGCCAAAGAATGGTGCAATGCTTCTAGCAGATGAGATAAGTGTTGACTTAGGTAATCAATGAAAGCTTCAGCGAGGAGGCAGGACTGGAGCAGAATCTGAAAGAATGACTATAGGTCCTGCATAAAGAACTAAAGAAGTTCCTGGATAAAGAACTATCAAAATTCCGAGACAGGAGGGGCGCCTGGGTGGCTTAGTCGGTTAAGCGCCCGACTTTCGCTTAGGTCACGATCTCGCGGTTCGTGGGTTCGAGCCCCGCGTCGGGCTCTGTGCTGACTGCCGGCTCGGAGCCTGGAGCCTGTTTCAATCTGTGACTCCCTCTCTCTCTGACCCTCCCCTGCTCATGCTGTCTTTCTCTCTCTCTCCTAGAAATAAATAAAACATTTAAAAAAAAAAAAAAAAATTCCGAGACAGGAACAGCCAGTGAAGACCAACAACACTACTGTTTGTGAAGTATCAGAATTTACGTTTCCTGAAGTATGACTACTCAGGTTTCCAAACCAAAGGTTCAACTTATTACGTATCTCTATGCTGGTAAGAAAGGAAAATCCTCAGAGGCCAAAAATCAAGCAAAGACAGGGAGACAGGAGATCAGCAAGTGACAAAGACGAGATAGCTCCTCAATCTGGTTAACGACCTTACACTTCCATTTGGAGGGTGCAAGGGGCCCAGGGGCCAGAACACAAAGCCTGAGGCCTAATAAGGGGTGCAGCGGGGGAGGGCGGAGGGCACCGACAGGACTCATGAGCACAGAGGATTATACTCTGCTCATGGACTGGCTAGAAAAATAAAACAAAACTTAAGAAAAAACCCTCACTTCTACAAAAGGTGAAAAGGAACTTGTTTTTCTCAGTCTTGGTGCTCTTTGGAGGAAGAAAATTCTCCTCCTAAAATACCTAACTATAAACTATCCATCTTGTGGATTTATAGGCCCAATGCATGCTACCTGAAACGCAATCCAAAAAACTTCTCAGGCTCAAATTAAAGTGACCCCAGGGGCGCCTGGGTGGCTCAGTCAGTTAAATGTCCAACTTCAGCTCAAGTCATGATCTCATGGTTCGTGAGAATAAGCGCCGTGTCAGGCTCTGTGCTGACAGCTCAGAACCTGGAGCCTGCTTCACATTCTGTGTCTCCCTCCCTCTCTGCCCTTCGTGCACACGCTCTCTTAAAAATAAACAAACATTAAAAACAAAACAAAACAAAAAAAAAACCAACCTGGTCCCAGGCTGGCAGTACCTTCCAGAAGACTACCGACTTCTAGTTGAGGCTCATTTCCATTATGTTATGCATGTTTTTTCAGTGTATAGAGTGTGCCAAAATCATTCCACAAAGAATTTACTGTGCTATAGGTATATATAGGTCATTCTGCTATAAATTATGAGAAGAATTAGCTTTTAAAAAGTATGACCCTTAGGGGCGCCTGGGTGGCTCAGTCAGTTAAGCGTCTGACTTCGGCTCAGGTCATGATCTCACGGTTCGTGGGTTCGAGCCCCACATCAGGCTCTGTGCTGACAGCTGGCTCGGAGCCTGGAGCCTGCTTCTGATTCTGTATCTCCTCCACCCCACCCCACCCCCGACCCTCCTCTGCTCATGCTGCCTCTCTCTCTCAGAAATAAATAAAACATTTAAAAAATTTTTTTAAAAAGTATGACCCTTAGGGGCGCCTGGGTGGCTCAGTCAGTTAAGCGTCTGACTTCGGCTCAGGTCATGATCTCACGGTTCGTGGGTTCGAGCCCCACATCAGGCTCTGTGCTGACAGCTGGCTCGGAGCCTGGAGCCTGCTTCTGATTCTGTATCTCCTCCACCCCACCCCACCCCCGACCCTCCTCTGCTCATGCTGCCTCTCTCTCTCAGAAATAAATAAAACATTTAAAAAATTTTTTTAAAAAGTATGACCCTTAAAATACCTAATAACCAGGTAAGATAACACATATTAGAAGTCAGTGCCTTAGGGGGGAAAAAAAGCAATAGAAAAGCAAGAATCAAGAGTATAGTGCACTTCTCTTGTATACAGATGTAAGAGTATCTTTATGATTTCTATTTGCAAAGAGAAACCAGAAATAAATATGGAGTAGATGGGAACAGGGTAGGAGGGATGGGAGTATATACCTTTCTACAGTTTTCACCTCTGAACCAAGTTAATGTTTTTCATACTCAAAAATGGCAGATTAAAAAGCAGAAAACAAGAGAACACTAAAATTGAACACAAACAGAATCAAACAAATCCTTAAGCTGTACATAAAACCCTTAACATAGCCAGAAGGAAAGAACTGAAGGAACTTTTGAATCTAGTATTCTCTATACCCTTAGTGGGACATATTTTAAGGACAGAAAGGACTTTGAAGAAATTTTGAACATTACACAGAAAGTTTTTATCGGTAGGGATACTGACATGATCCTGAAACCATTTTTCTGTGTGTTACACGACAGGGCGAATCAGTACATACTAATGCTGTTGAGCCAGGTTGTTCACTGTACAGAAAAGAAAACAGAAACAAGGTGGAATAGCCTTGAGGTGTTGGGCATCAATCAGAGTTACCAGCACGAACTCACAATTGAGAAACACACACACACACACACGTACACTTCCTAGACCTACCCACTGGAAACCGTGGTATTCGTGGTAGTGAGCACACTTCCTGCCCACGTCCTGCTCCCTATCAAAATGAACCAGGGTTCTCTGGAGAGACTCCAGGTGTAAGACAGGCACAAGGTGAGTCTAAAGAACATCTTGTTGTGCTAGAAAGCCAGCGAAGGATCAAAGACTAATGGGGACCTGTGAAAAGGACACTGGACTTGGTTTGAAGGGCTCCTATTACCCAAACAGAGGACAGATGAGCATGAAAAACAAAAAACAAAACAAACTGGGAATCAGTGGACTAATAACAGTCTGAAGTTGGAAAAATTCTATTAGTCTCTAGTGATCCGTACACATAAAAACGAGGTAGGAGGAAGAACTATTCTTTTTTAAAAAAATTTTTAAATGTTTATTTTTTGAGACAGAGAGACAGAGCGTGAGCAGGGGAAGGGCAGAGAGAGAGGGAGACACAGAATCCGGAAGCAGGCTCCAGGCTCTGAGCTAGCTGTCAGCACAGAGCCCGATGTGGGGCTCGAACCCAAGAACCATGAGATCATGACCTGAGCCGAAGTCGGATGCTCAACCAACAGGCACCCTGAGCATAGGATTCCTGGATAGGAGATCCTGGAATGGGGGAAAATCTGCATGATGTTTGGGGACAATGACGGAAGTCTGAATATTGGACTATACATTAGATGACATTCTTGTATAAATGAGGAACATTTGGTGGGGGGGGGGGGCGGAGAGAAGGATGCGCCTGTGTAGAAAAATGTTCATGGTCTTGGGAGAAACATGCAGAAATACATAGGGGGGAAGTCATGATCCCTGCAACAACTAACTTTCAGATGGTTCTTTGCAAACACAAAGTGTGTGTGTGTGTGTGTGTGTGTGTGTGTGTGTGTGTGTGCGCGCGCGCACACGCATGGAGAGATAAAAAGCAGAAGTGGCTAAATAATGGTAGCTGGTGGTTCCCGGTGAAAATTATGCAGGTGTTCAATGTACTGATTCTGCAACTTTTCTGTAGGTTGGAAGCTCTTGCGGGAGGGAAGGGATGGGGACACCAAAAAGCCCATCCACAGGAAACTGGTTCGATAAGTTAGGAGACACATGATAAAACGTGGTGCAGACAGTAAAAACAGAAAGAACGAGGAAGTTCTTCATATCCTCATTTGGAACACTTCTCAAGATAAACTTTTTAAAAATTTTTTTTCTCGAGAGACAGAAAGAACGAGTGAGCGAGTGAGCTCGAGCAGGGGTGAGAGACAGAAGGGGGGAGAGAGAAAGAATCTCAAGCAGGCTCCACGTGTGAACCCTAAGGTGGGGCTCGATCCCACGACCCCAGGATCTGAACCTGAGCCGAAATCAAGAGTCAGACACTCAACTGACTGAGCCCCCTAAGTGCCCCAACATAAACTTTTAAATAAACAAAAGCAAAGTACAAACTGTGTGTAGTTTGCTACCATCTCTGTTAGAAGACATTACAAAAAAATTTTTTTTCCTAAATGTTTATTTTTGAGAGAGAGAAAGAGAGACAGAGGGCAAGCAGGGGAGGGGCAGAGAGAGAGGGAGACACAGAATCTGAAACAGGCTCCAGGCTCTGAGCTGTCAGCACAGAGCCCGACACAGGGATTAGGATCAAACTCCCGGCCCCGCGAGATCATGAACTGAGCCGAAGTCAGATGCTTAACTGACTAAGCCACCGAGGCACCCTGGGGAGAAGCCATTTTTATATTGCCTTGATATGCAAACAAAACACCTGAACAGAAACAACTAGAAACAAGCACCTGTGGCTGGGTGCTTGGGCGTGTAGGAAGTGGGTGAATGTGCTATACGAGAGAATCTTTTTGAATCTTCTGCATATATATATACTTTAATATTTTATTTATTGAGAGAGAGAGACAGCGTGAGCAGGGGAGGGTCAGAGAGAGAGGGAGATAGAGAATCCAAAGACAGGCTCCAGACTGAGCTGGCAGTCAACACAGAGCCCGACGCAAGGCTTGAACCCGCGATCCGTGAGATCATGGCCTGAGCCAAAGTCAGATGCTCAACCAACTGAGCCACCCAGGTGCCCCAGAATATACTTTTTTAAATTAGATAATAAAGAATAAGTTAGCAAAGTGGAGGCAGGAGGCTACAGGGGTTTGTTGCTGAAACAGAATGAAAGAAACTTAAAAAGGTGTGAAACTTAAAAACCATAGGGACATTCATGCATGCTTAAAACAGAGGGAAGCAGTGGCACCTGGGTGGCTCACTCTGCTCAGTGTTCAACTCTGGATTCAGGCTCAGGTCATGATCTTATAGTTCGTGGGACTGGGCCCCGCACTGCACTCTGTACTGATGGTGCAGGGCCTGCTTGGGATTCTCTCTCTCTCTCTCTCTCTCTCTCTCTCTCTGCCTCTCCCCTGCTTGCTCTCTCTCAAATAAATTAATTTTTAACAGAAGAAAAGAGCGTGGGGACGATGGCACAGTAGAAGCCTCACACAAAGCCAGGGACGGGGCCCAGGGGTCACGGAGAAGGATAAACTGAGAGACGCAGGAGAACCTCTTCCTGAACATGGCACCCCTCAGGGAGCAGCACCCAACAGCTCAGGGCTCTTGACGGGCTGGGAGGCCTCTGTGGAGACGGCCTTGGCCATGGTTAAAGAACAGGTCCCACTGCACTTAGTCAGGCTCTGAGGACAAACCATCTCATGCAGCTGTGCTCTCACCTGGACTAGGGCCTTCTAAGATTTCCTTTATCACCATCCACGGCTCCTCCAGCAGGGGAATCACCGTTGGTCGGTACACGGTCAGTCCTGTTCAGGAGGAACGGAAGGAGTTTTATCCTGGAAATAAACAGCTGTTCGAATTTGCTTACCTGACTTCTACTTCTATGGGAAAACAACGGAGCATTAGGTCACTGTCCTTTTCAGAGCTAGGACAGAAATTTCCTGCCACCCAAGAGGATATGTGCATAGAGATCAGGGCGGGAGGAGATCACAGGAGAGTAGGAAACGGGCAAGGAGGGAGCAGCGCTGGGTGGAGGCCCGGGGAGGCTGGGCATCACGGTTTTCAGTGATCTTTCACTTAGACACTTTTTTATTTGGGAAAAGGGAAAACACTTCCGTGCCCGAATGGGATGAGCACACTCACCTCCAGGCCCTACTCATAGCCAAGTACGTTAGGGGCGACCCATTTTATCGACGCAGGACAGAAGACCCTTGGTGGGCATGCCAGCAGGGGCGGGCGAGGGTGGCGCTTACCCAGAGAAACCATGTTCCAGTAGTTCTGCAGCGTCACAGTCTTGTACAGTTCCTTCTGCACGGGACGCATGATCTCCCAGTCCTCCTGCGTGACATCCACAGCCACGTCTTTGAATGTCATGGACTCCTAAAACATCCAACAGAACTGGTTCCAGAACCGGGGGAGGAGGATAGTGAAAACGCCGGGCATGTGTGCGCTGAGGGCAACCGCAGAATCCCGAGCTTCAGGAAGACCCTAAGGGTCATCAAGCTAAACCCTCAGCCGAGTTACGGACGACAGCACCTGCACGCTCCCACGGGGAAGTCTGACGCTACAGCAGGAGTCGTCGTCCGTTTCCAGCTGGCACGGGGCATGCGCTTAAAGCAGAAAGGGCTTTACAAAAGCGACACACTTGAATGGTTGTGCTTTTCGAGCTTTAACTCAAGAATTCAGTGTGTCAGGGGGGTGCCTGGGGGGCTCGGTCAGTTGAGCCTCCAACTCTTGCTTTCTACCCAGGTCATGATCTCACGACTGTGAGATCGAGCCTGTGTGGGGCTCCGTGCTGGGCGTTGAGCCTGCTGAAGATTCTCTCTCTCTTCCTCTGCCCCGTCCTTTCTCACACGAGTGTGCATGCTGTCTCTTTCAAAAAAAGACTCTTAAAAAATTCACTGTGCTATAATTTGAAATTTTAAGCTGTATTTGTGTGCCCTACAATGAAATGCAGAGCCCTTACTTCCTTTTCAAAATGAAATTGGGACTGCGCCCGGCTGGCTCAGTAGGTAGAGCTGGGTGTAGCTATTACCTAAAAACAAAATCTTCAGGGGCACCTGGGTGGCTCAGACTATTAAATGTCCAACTCTTGGGATGTCTAGCTGGCTTAGTCGGTTAAGCGTCCAACTTTCCCTTAGGTCATGATCTCGCGGTTCGTGGGTTCGAGCCCCGCGTCAGGCTCAGTGCCGACTGCCAGCTCAGAGCCTGGAGCCTATTTCAGAGTCTGTATCTCCCTCTCTCTCTGACCCTCCCCTGCTCACGCTCTCTCTCTCTCTCCTAGAAATAAATAAAAATATTTTTTAAAAAAATGTCCAACTCTTGATTTCGGCTCAGGTCATGATCTCACAGTTGGGGAGTTGGAGCCCCGCATCAGGCTCTGTTCTGACAGCTCAGAGCCTGCTTTGGATTCTCTCTCTGCCCTACCTCCAGCTCTCTCTCTCAAAATAAATAAACATTAAAAAAAAAATCTTTAAAATTGGGACCAAAACCCATACGGTTGAACTGTTATACTTGTGGATACATGTCTCAATCTGGTAAGGTTCGTATTCCTCTTTGCTCTTTTTCTTCCTTTTGGTAAATAAAACTGATTACACTTACACATCTTTCAAATGAACTTTATGTGTCTCAAAAAAATTATACACAGTTTTCAAATTACATCTTCAATTTATAATTTAGGGAGAACAGACAATTTACAATATTTAAGACTTCTTTTACGTCTTATGGAATGATAGTTGGCATGGACGTACTACAAAATTTATAGTGTGTTTAGTACTAGATACCTTAAATTCTGGTGGTGGGGAAAGCTGCATGGAATCTTTTTTTTTTAAGTTTATTTTGAGAGAGACAGAGAGAAAGAAAGAGAGAGAGTGTGTGTGTGTGCAGGGGAGGGGCAGAGAGAGGAAGACAGAGAATCCCAAGCAGGCTTGTCGCTAGAAGCACAGAGCCCCGAGCTCGAACCCATGAACCATCAGATCATGACCTGAGCCGAAACCAAGAGTCAACACTTAACTGACTGAGCCACCCAGTTGCCCCTGTGGATGGAATCTTTCGTTGTATCTTATCATCTGCCTGATCTTAATGTATATGTATGAAAGTGATTTTTTTTTTTTTTTAGCGTTTATTTTTGAGAGACAGAGACAGAGTGGGGGAGGAGCAGAAAGAGAGAGGGAGACACAGAATCTGAAGCAGGCTTCAGGCTCTGAGCTGTCAGCACAGAGCCCAACGCAGGACTCGAACTCACAAACCGTGAGATCATTATCTAAGTCAGATACTTAACCCACTGAGACACCTGGGTGCCCCAAGTGATTTTTTTTTTCTTTTTCTTTTAGAGTAAGCTCTATGTCCAACATGGGGCTCAGACTCATGACCCTGAGATCAACAGTTGTATGCTGTACCAACTGAGCCAGCTACCCCTTAGAGTGATTTTCATGTCATGTTCTGTAGTAATCATCTGACTCAAATTCTGTTGTTTCCCAGTTTCCCCCTTGATTTTCTTAGGGTTTCTAGGTAAACAATCATTTAATCTATGAATAATAATTTTACTCTGGCTGCCAGTGTCAGATGTGTATTCTTATAGTAAAACTTTCTCTTAAGATGGCCTGGTAGAACACAGACTCACGATCAAGAGTAACACCACAAAACATACGGCCTTTAATTCCTTGTTAATGAGAAAAGTAATATTAGCAACTATTGCTTCTTGATGGGTTACCGTAATCCAGGCTAACTGCAAGTCGCATAGTGTTTAATCCTCACAGTCTAACAGGTATATTCTATTTATTAGAGTTTAATAATCCAGGCCAAGTGTGGTCAGGTATCTTGCCCCAAGTCATAGGTTCAGAACCAGGAACTAAATCTGATCATCTGGCTGTGGAAGTCAGTCCCTTAACCTCTATGCAGTGTTGCTGCCTTACAGTCAGACTGAGGACAGGCATATCAGGGGAAGGTCACGGAAGCCTATTTCCTACACAGGGCGGTCACTTACCTTAACAGACCCAGGTGGGTTTAAAGAGAGAAACTGATGCTTAAGTCCTAGATTGGGCTTTTGGGGGCAAAGAAGTCACAGGGCCAGGACAGAAAACGTCCTCACACAGACACCTCTAATAAGCCATTTTAAAATCATAGAAGAAACCAACACTTACTTTGGTCACCAAGTCATTTAACCATCCTGACTGGAAAGGAGGCCTTCCTTTGGGTTCTTCCTCTGGGGTCTCTTGGGGAAGGGCAGAATTCTGAGGAGCAGCTACGGAAGAAGGGAGACCATGATGGAGATTAGTCCTGTTTGAACCGCCTAGGAAATTCTTCACCAAATAGATGCCCACACTTCCCTACAGTGAGAAATGAGAAAGAAACCAAAACCAGCACCTGTACTTCAAAGCAGCAGAGGGAAGGGCGGATCCATCCAGGCTTCAAAAACAAGTGTGTTCTGGGGCTGCTAAGGATATGTACCAAATTCCCAACGTTCTACTAAAGCTTCACGTGATGCAAATTTTGTGTGTTGCCTCTTAACAAGGAAATGTTTTCTGGACCCCTTTCTGCCTTTTTGCAAGCATGTTATTGTAAAACCGGATTCACAAAGCAAATGATTTCTTTGCAGAACGGTTCAAACCTCTGCAGGTAAAATTCCTGAAAGCTCACACAGGGGTAGTTTGGTCACTGTTTTAAGACACTGGGTAGTGGGGGGGGGGGGGGGCAGTCTCCAGCAGTCTGGAAGGGGCAGACCCAGCAGGACTCTGAGGCTCACATTGGAGTGTGTTCTCACTCACTGAGCTCTGCTCTCCCCGGTGTCTTGAAAGCGCTGCTCTGTGACAATGCTGGGTGTCTTCCCTAACCACCCAGGACTCCTCCCCTCTCTGCCCTACAATCCTCACCTTCCTCTTCTAGAATCTGTGTCAAATCCTCCACCAGAGTCACCACTTCCTCACTGCTCTCTGGGTACTGGGACTTCACCCACGTCCTAACCTCCCCAGGCAGGATGGTCAGGAATTGCTCTAGCACCAGCAGCTCCAAGATTTGTTCCTTTGAGCGAATCTCAGGTCTCAGCCATTTCAGGCAGAGCTCTCGGAGTTGATTCAATGCCTTTCGAGGACCGGCTAGGTCTGGATATGGGAAATTCCTAAAATTCTGCCGACACGTCTCCGTGTCACGCAAGAGTCTCAAAGCGTGGGTTCCCTTCTCCCCATTGTGGGGTCCACTCTGAGCCTTGTCCGGCTTCCACATTAGAAGGATTTGGGAGCGTGAAGAACTGGTCGTCCTCTTGCATGGGGAGAACATGGCTACAGACGGGAGAGTCAGTCTGGCAGTCTCCTTTATTTCTCCAGTAGTGAGCCAACTGCTTGAAGTCTCATGCTAGAGCCACAGAGTCATTCTATCAAGGGCTACTGCAGCCAGGGGCAGAACAAGGTCAAGGTAGAGTCAGTGGCCTTAGTTACAAATTCGGAGCCCAGAACTTGCAGGGATGGTTAAGAGACCCTGAAACACAAGAACAGAGCACAAAGTCAAGAACTCCTGGTGCTCTCTGCTATGCACATAATACCAGCAGGGATAGCCTACTCGGTGCGCACAGATACATACACATACACACACACACACACACACACACACACACACACACTTTACCTTGGTCTTCCTCCCCTACATCCTTAGAATTGTAGCATAAATGCAACCTCTTGGGGGCAGGGGCTGGGACTGACATCAAAAGGTGGTAAGAGAGGGGAGCCTGGGTGGCTCAGTCGGTTGAGCCTCCACCTTCGGCTCAGATCATGATCTCACAGCTCTTGCGTTCGAGCCCCACGTCAGGCTCTGTGCTGACAGCTCAGAGCCTGGAGCCTGCTTCCAATTCTGTGTGTCCCTCTCTCTCTCTGCACCTCCCCTGCTCATGCTCTGTGTCTCAAAAATAAACAAATATTTCTTTAAAAGAATTAAAAAGAAAAGGTGGTAATAGAAGCAGAGACCTGAATCATGAGCCAGACAACAGATCAAACAAACTTCTAACTTGTTGAAACACAAATGAAATCACAGAGGGGGAAAGAAAGCTTCAGTATTTTTCTGATGTTACTTCAGAAGCCCTAAAGAAACGGAAATACCTCTCGAGAACAACAGGGCAAATCTTTTAAGTACTTGGAACAAACGGGGAGAATGCCTTCTTAATAAAGTGCTCAAGGTTCCCAAGGAAACTGTCAAGGAAAAAAGGGCGAGCCATTTGCCTGCTTTGCATATAAATGCCACAGTATTCTAGCTTTTTGCTATCAGAGGGCTGGGAGCCTAGCCGGTAGGTAGCACTGGAAAAAATATAAAAGAGACTGGTGTCATTTGAAGCCCTTTCAAATGCTTCTACGAGAGACAATTCCTTATGATTAAATATGAAACCAGAATTCCCGAAGAAAACCTCAGAACAGGCCTGACCTGCAGCTCGGACGACACCTGTCCGCGGGCCCGAGTTCTGAGCCCTCCTCAAAGCTCCGTCGCGGAACCAAAGCCAAGTGTTATACCAGGCCCTGCAGGGGAGACTTGCGGGCCTCGCCCGTCACCTCCCCTACCCGGTCCGGTGTCCCTAACTCCTCTTCGGCCGGGGGAGTCACGGACAGCGGGGGAAGGGGGGACCTGGCGACGCGCTGAGCTGGGACCGGGCCCCCACAGCAGCCTCCGCCCCGTGTCTGCCTTCGCCTCCGCCCCCGGGCGTGGACCGGCAGGGGCAGCGGCTTAACCGCGCGGACACTCGCGCCCGGCGCCCCCGACATCATTACCTGTCGCGGGGACCCGGCGGACGCGCAGCCGGAGCGGCCCGAGAGGCCCGGGGCAACAATGGCGGCGGAGGCGCGGGCGCCTGCGTGGCGGGCTCGGTCCCGCGCTGCAGAGGGGCCTCTGGCTCCGCCACTTCCCTAACCCGGAAAGCACGACGTGTCTCGGCCGGGAGCCGCACCTTCCAGGCCGCTCCTGAGAAGCCTGGGCCGGAACGCGCCGCGCCTCGGCTCCACCGCGACCTCGCCTCAGCGCCACTGCGCATGTGCGCCCGGAGAACGCTGCGCGCCCGCTGAGCCAATCGGAAGCCGCGTCCCGGCCCTCCCTCCCGCCCGAGCCTCATTCCTTGGACCTGTCTCCATGGTAACCTCCTCCACCCATCACTGCGACCTGCTCGTTTAGGCTGCAAGGTTCTGAAGGGAACTTTAAAGTTTCCCTGGTCAGAAGCAGGTCTGGTAGGTGACCGGGAGGTCGGGGAGCTACTAGCATCTGGGGAAAGGGGATGCAGATGGGGGTGGTTAAAGCTCTGCACTAATTAACCAGAGAAAACCTGGTGCCAGAGGTCTTAGAAGAAGGATGGGCAGACAAGACGTGGGTCTAAAGGTAGAACAACCCGCAGCGCGTTTTGGGGCGTTAGTGTGCATACACATTCACTGTTGGAGGCTCCGAGTCCCTCCTAAGGAACCTGATCTTGAGACTCCGATTGGAAAAAGGAATGACCTGAACAGGGTGTTTATAGAGACACAACAAACCAACATAAAACTCTTGAAAATAAAAGGGTAGAAAAAACATTCCAGGGGTTCCTGTTATCTACTGTTGTGTTGGCAAACCACCCAAAACCCAATGGTTTTAATTTTTTTTTAATGTTTTTATTTATTTCTAGGAGAGAGAGAGAGAGACAGTGTGAGCAGGGGAGGGTCAGAGAGAGAGGGAGTCACAGACTGAAACAGGCTCCAGGCTCTGAGCTGGCAGTCAGCACAGAGCCCGACGCGGGGCCCGAACCCACGAACCGCGAGATCATGACCTAAGCGAAAGTCGGACGCTTAACCGACTAAGCCACCCAGGCGCCCCCAAAACCCAATGGTTTTAAAGAACAACCATTTTATTATGCCCATGGATCTTACTCGTCAGGAATTTGGAAGGGGAACTGTGGGCACGGCTCTTCACTGCTCCCCTCTGTCTGAAGGCTCTGGAGAGGATTTGATGGCAGGGAGGGTCCATTTCTAAGATGGCCACTTCCCTCACATGTATTATGGGTGGGCTGAGATGGATTAAGGATAAGCTCAGCTTGGATTTGAGCAGAGTGGCCTTTTCCATGTGAAGGACTCTGACATGGCATCTCTGGGCTTCAAGAGCACATGTTCTAGTGAATATGAAAGAATCGTCATGGCTGTTGACGACATAGCTTTGGGAGTCACAAAAAAGTCATATGTTCGTAACTTTGGAAGTCATCACTTCCATCATACGTTCGATCAAAACAGCCACAAGTCTGTGCAGAATCTAGTAGAGGCAAATGTAGACTCCATCTCTTGATGGGAGGGGTGTCCTACAGTCTTAAAATGACCACAATAGGCACATTTGAACAATAAGAAACTGGGCGCAAACACCTTATGGAGAAAATTAGTCAATGATTTTGAAAAACACGAAAGAGGAGCGCCTGGGTGGCTCAGTCGGTTGAACGTCAGACTTCGGCTCAGGTCATGATCTCACCGCTCGTGGGTTCGAGCCCCGCATGGGGCTTTGTGCTAACTCAGCGCCTGGAGCCTGCTTTGGATTCTGTGTCTCCCTCTCTCTCTGCCCCTCCTATGCTCATGCTGTCTCTCTCGCTGTTTCCCAATAATAAATAAAAAATAATAATAATTAAAAAATAAAAACACTAAAGATTATCCAAATAATAGCCAAAAAAAGAAAAAAAAGAAAAAAAGAAAAAGTGAATAATGGAAAGCAAAGCCTGTCTGGTAAAAATTTTAATGAGCCCTTCAAAAAAAAATTTTTTTTAATGAGCCCTTCAATTCATCAGAACAACATAAATTATAATCAAAACCTTCCCACTCTCTCACAAAAGCTATGAACATAAAGTTTTAGGGTAGTGTTACCGGAGTCAGATTCTTGCGGCCAACGAAGAACGTTCTCATGGAACGCACCTAGACCCCAGAATAAAAGGCACACGCTAGCCGAGGTTCTGTTTAAGTAGAGAAAATTCGGACTACACGTCCCATATGCTAATAAGGGGAGGGAGAGGGGGAAAATGCCTCATTTTGATTGGCTGAAAGGGCCTCGTTCTGATTGGTCAGAAGAGTCTCGTCCTGATTGGTTGATATTGGAAGGCCACTCAGGCAGCTCATTGGCGGCTTTTGGAGCCGATCCTGCGTGTTAAGTTCTGCTTGTGTGTGGGCCCGCATCCTGCTTCTCTCTAAGAGGTGGGCTGTTGAGCCGACATCAAGTGCTCCACGTGCGTGATGTTTACCCTTTGGGCCTGGTCCCCCTGGTCTCTAACTGCCTCGGTAGGACAGGGCAATGTTTCCCCTATTTCTTCTAGTGTTTTCTTTAGGGACAGCAGAGATTTCATCTGAGGAGATTGGATGGAGGTCTGGTAGAAATGGATGCAGCCTTAACTCAACTCCCAGGGGGAGCATCAGGGCCCAAGTGCAACTCCCAGGGGGGAAGTGAGAGACCAGGGAGGTGAGGACCCATGGGCACAAAGTGTTTCCCCCCCTGTCCTGAGATGTGAGGTCTGCGCCGTAATGAGTCTGACTCAGTGCATTTTCTTTCATGTTGTAGGCTGAGGGCACTGATCCCATTTATAGACAAGAAAAGGGAGGCTCAGGAAGATAATGTGACTTTGCCAAGGCTTCCAGGGATTAGGTGCAGACCCCGGCCTTGCTTGACCTAATCAAGGTCTTGACCCCGCAGACCCCGGCCTTGACCCCTGCTGTGCTACCTCCAAGGCCAGCCCTGTTCTTTTTTTTTTTTTTTTAATTACCCGTATCTATAAACCTGGTGGCTTTGGAATCTTCTCAGCGGTCATCGTGTCTTCGGTGGGAAAGGGAAGTAAATTAATTGCACTCATTAAAAGAAGGATCAGGGGCGCCTGGGTGGCTTAGTCGGTTAAGCGTCCGACTTTCGCTTAGGTCATGATCTCGCGGTTCGTGGGTTCGAGCCCCGCGTCGGGCTCTGTGCTGACTGCC